AATATTTTTCCTAATTTTTCTATATTTTTTTCTTTATTTTTTTAATATATTAGATGCGCAACTAAGTTCTCGCTGTTATTTTGATGAAAATGCAACTTTATTGTGAAAAAATGGCTTGGAAATTGCTTTGGGGGGATTGAAAGTATTGCCCATTGCTAGCTACTACTTTTTCCCATCTTTCTGGCAGAGCTCGTATACCATCACGATAAAACTGTTCACTTACTGCTGGAGCCATCTGTTGACAAACAGCGGGAACTTAGTTGCGCACCTAATATAATATGTTTATATTCAGTAAGAAAATATCAAATTCTGTACAAATACAATACAATTAATATTTTTACATTCCACTTACAACATATATATTTAGGATGTATTTGATTATTTATGCTTTCTAGAATACTATAAATATACAAAACTATAAATATACAAAAGATTTGTTCTTTATTTTTTAATCTGTAATGTGTTGTAGAAATGATTTTTGTTTCAAAAAAATATCTTTTAGTCTCGGCTGTTTTAACGATTTCAATGAATTCACATGTACCGACGATGTCATACTTGTTGGCAATATTGACAGTGCTGGAGATGGTGGAGATAGCGTCATCTAATTCATTACAACTTTCTTTAGATGTAGTATCATTTGTCTATTTTCATATACAAAAAGAAGATATTTTATATAAAATTATCCTTTTATGTAAATTATCAAAATATAATATTATTTAAAATTTTAGAAATATTACCGTTTTCTTTCGTTTTCGTGACACTATCAGAAGTGTCAAAAGTTATCATTTCGATAGCATAAATATCTGGATGCTTTCGCTGTAAATGATTGTTTCCGGAGCTTTGTATAAATTGTTCACACACTTTGCATTTTGCGCCTTTAAAATTCATATCTTTTATAAAAGGCTTCCAAATATTACTTTTCGACACTAAAATATAAAATATAATGATTAATGAAATAAAATAATTAATGAAATGCCCATTTTTAATTTAAACAATTCAATAAATAAATTTCATAAATTGAAATTAATGAAATTATTTTAGTAGAAGAATAATGGAAATGGGTATTCGTTTTAGGAATATACTAGGAGATGTTAAGAATGTTTTCTGATAAAGATCAAAGAACCAAATCCACCAGAATCAAACCAATACCAATACTGAAAAAGTCAAACATCAAACATGCAAATAAGAGAATTATAGAAAAGAGCAAAGTAGTAATTATACATATGATAGTAGATAAAGATATGCAGAATGGCGATGTTCAGATTCTTTGAAATTTATTTCTTTTCGTAGGAAGAATAAATTTTCAGATGTGTATTGAGAAAATACAGTTTCGCATTCCTTTTAGAGATACACATTATACATAACAACAAATTGCAAAATGCAGCTAAATGTTCTGATGATCAAAACTTATAATCTTCTGATTAAACCAACCAATACTGAAAAAACTAAACAAACATGTAAATAATTTTAAAAAACTATAAAAAGATAATTATGTATGTAGTAAAATATTTTTTAAATTAAGTTTAAGTACAAAATAGCGAATAGAACATAAGGCCTCTTTTTAATTAAACTTTTTGCACAGTTCATCTTTTTTTTCTTTTTTTTCCCACATACAGATTGGAAAGAAAAAGAAATATAATAAAAACCATGCGAAAAATTCAATTCAAAAGAACAGGACTATATATTTTTCGCATAATTTTACTAGTTTAGCGTACAAACAGTTTTTAAATAAAAATAAACTTACAGTATTTCAGTTTATTTTCTTCTATTTGTCGCCCCAGGTATGAATCCTTGCACTCGGGATTAACAGGAATCAGCTTATTTTTCTTGACGATCTTTGTCGTTCAATAGTGCCAAAAAAATAATGTCGATTTAAAAATTGAAAAAACAAACGAACAATGCTAACAATGAAAGTATACTTCTCATTTTTGCAAAATTAAATAATAATTCTTACTAGAAAAAACCTAGTTTGTCTATGCTTTGTGTACTGGAACAAGTTGAGAAGGCACTTTGCTGATAATGTAATTGATACAATTTGAAAATTACATTAACCTCACATCAAGAAAGATCATGTTTATCACAAGCATACACAGCTGCCGCAGGACATATCCATATTGCATTCCTTCGTATATCGCGACGCATACGCAGAATCACTATAAAATTTCGGATCCCATTTTACCACGGCTTGTACTAAACTATACCCGCATTCATAGTCAGATCTTGTACTTAAGGCTTCCTTAAATATAAGACCTGACTATGCCGGCATTAGGGGTAGCATACAATAAAAGGAACAGGGAACAGAGAACAGAGGATAAAAATTTTAATCCATCAGAAACCTATCAGAAACTGTGTATTCCACAATACATGATTTCTGATAGGTTGAAATTCTTATTCTCTGTTCTCTGTTCCTTTTATTGTGCGGAGACTCTTAGCAGTCTAGCAGTACATATAGAAGTCTGTGGTTAGGACATATGAACATAATAGTACCAACAGTTAAGTAAACATTAAAAATAATAACATGATTATATTTGTATTTAATATTATATTTAGTATTATATTTGTAAATAATATGAAAAAGGAGCATAAAAACTCTAACGCAAGTTATAAGCAATGTATCATATATTAAAAATCTTCAATATTATAATATAAAAAAATATACGTTTTGGTCACTTTCTGGCCATCCTCAGTATGTCATGTAATGTAAAATTAATAAATAATAAATAAATAAAAATTACGCAAAGTAGGTGAAAATTTGTCTAGTGTCAATAATAAATTATTGAAAGTTTTTTCATGAGCTTCTTAGCTCAACACAACGCTCGATTTCTTCTACACGCTCTACCAGAGAGACCACAAAACATCATTATTTTAACCTAGGTTAGTGCAAACTCGATCGGGCTGAAAACGTTATAACTTTCTTTTAACTTTCTGTTTAATGAATTCTGGAGATGGAGGTTGTTCCCTCCGCCCTCCACCTGACCCTGAATCTGCCACTTGATATTGTTATAGCACATTAGTTGGGCAGTCTTCGTTTTACACTGCATCCTTTATCGAATGAATCAGATATTTAATAGTGGCTGGTTTAACTTGGAACTTAACAACAGAAATAAATATAGGACCTAATGATAATTACGACATTTCCGAGTTGTCTGCATCAATTAGGTAACTGTTATAAAATTTATAATCCACGATACATTCATATTTATTATATTTTATAAAATCATTATGTTTTATAGATATATCATGAAGTTATTGGATGTACACATGTTTCAAGACTCGGAATATAAAATTGGCAATGCGATACATGGAGATAGGACATACGAACACAATAGTACCAACATTAAGTAAATATTCAAAATTATAAACATGGTTTATATTTGTAAACAATATAAAAAAGGAGCGTAAAAACGCAAGTTGTTATAATATTTAAATGTCCATGAGTCATAAGCGTGTAGGTAAGGAATAGAAAATATTCTAGTGTAAGATAAAAATTGGGACGTTCCCATAATCACAACAGTACAATTTTCTTCCTTTTGATACGAAAATCGAGTGTAAAACAGTAAGCATATGGTCAAGATTATTCTTGATTTAAAAGACTTTACAACTTTTTTGTATATTTTAATACATAGCATTAAAAATACAGACATATAATGATAATCGTCACAATTCATTAGTATATATATATATATATATATATATATGTGTGTGTGTGTGTGTGTGTGTGTGTGTGTGTACTTGTTTAATTATATAATTTTGTTATAGAGAATTAACTGAAACAGTAGGAAAGCATTACACAAAACTACTATTCTCTGGAAACAATAATTTGTCCAAATGCAGAATAGACAACCACTCACTCGTAAGATTTATTTTACATATTACATGAATAAGTATTATTAAAAACATTGGCATTTACACTGCTAAAAGAATTAGGGAATTATATAAAATCGACGCAAAAAAATTAATCCAAAATTATGTTTGCGAAAAAATTATGGTTGCAGAACGATTTTTAAAAAAATTTTAAAACCCGAAATCTTAACTTTCAGTTGCTTCAAATCTTGGCTGCAACAATTTCGCTATAAATTTGGCACTAATTTACTCCTTTTTAGCGCTGATTTTAAATACTTTAGTTTAAATTTTTTTAACAGAATTACTAGTATTAACATAAAGAATAATACTTTATTGCGTTAATGATGACACATTAATAAAGGCCTAAATAGGTTTTTTTTTATCACACAGAGCTGTTGGATATTACTTTAGTTTTTTTATTTGTAATGACAGTATTTTTTGTTTGTAATGACAGTTACATTATTTGTTCAATGCAAGCATATTTGTTGCGTATATAAAAACATTTATTCTAAGTTACCAATATAAAGAAAATAGAAATATATATTATAATATGTACTGTATGTGTGTGCGTGCGTGAGTGTGTGTGTGTGTGTGTGTGTGTGTGTGTGCTTCGTATCATATTTACATATTTTAGATACAAAGTCATAGGAACTATAAAGTAATATATAATATCAGTCGAATATACCGCCACTTCAGATGCTATATACTTACCGCTCGACTTACTATTGTCAAAGGTACGACCCACGAGCGCATGGCGCGCGGGCCGCGAAGAGCGGGAATGGCTTAGCAGGCGCGCCGCGCCCTTTGAACTTAGATGCTTGCGATGATAAGTCCCGCTCCTCGCGGCCTGCGCGCTCGGTGGGCCGTACTTTCGGCAATAATAATAGGTCGGGAGAACGTGCATATTCGGCTATTTTTGAACGTTAATATTTCGTTAATTATTGCGAGCATTACAAAATGGTAGAGGACTTTTCTACTCAGTTTAGTCCACTCTACTTGCTCAGAACGAGTGGGGCCGTATATTCATGACACCCTGTATATATATATATTTATATATTCTGAATATATTTATATATTCTGTTTACATCATCTGGTGGCGACCTATTCAATTGATATAGACGTCTGGATAAACACGTTTCGATTAATATATATCAATGTGCCATCTATAACTCGAAGGACTTTTGAGAAAAAGTGATGATATAGGATACACTTGTGAATTTTTTATTTCTTTGTTTTATTACAATTTATATTTTATTTAGTTTTATATACTATAATACATTGCACCATGAGAATTTACAATTTGCCTTTATCCATTGTAACTTTTTTTTCATATACACAGAATTATACGTTGTATTATTGTAACGTTATTATTATAACTCAAACAATATGAAATGCAAAAAGGATATAAAACATCTTTTAAACGTCTTTTAAATGTCTTTCGTAAGTATTTTTAAGACGATTTTGAGGTGACTTTCAATTTTATAAAATGTTCTAAATCCTGATTTTGAACTTATTATTTGAAAACTTATTCTTATATTATAACTTATAAATCCCTTTAATACAATGCATATGTATAAAAAGAAGAGCATAAAAAACCACCACACAAGTTATAGTTTGTGATATTTAATTATCATTACATTAATTAAAACATTAGACGTTTCGATCACAATCTGGCCATCCTCAGTAAATTCAATATTCTTAAAATGCAGAGTTACATATAGCTGACATTAAATTCAACCATCGTATGAATTTTTATGGTTATGGTTTTTTATACTCTTCTTTTTATACGTTTTGAATTATAACTACGTTCGTTTTTATGATGTATTACAATGCATATGTAGTATATGACAATGTCTTTCTCTCAGTGTATGTCTATGTGTAATATTAATATTAATTTTATTTTTATATTAATATATAATATTTTTATATTAATATAATAACTTTTGTATATCTTCAATAAGATGTAAGACTGATATGTAAACAATATAAACAAAGTGTAAGAAGACTGATATATAAATCAAAATATTTACTGTTTTCTTTGAGGCGATAAATGTTTATGTAAATGTTTATAATAAAAGGTACAAAATGTTTGCTTGTTCAGTCAGTAAAATTAATCAAACCCTCGAAAGTTAATTGAATGTAATTAATCTATATAAGTCTTATTGGGAGTCTTTCAGAAATTAAATCTCATTTTATCACACCTTTTGATACCAACATTACAACAATAATACCATTAAGTAAACATTAAATAAACATTAAACATAAAAATAATAAATGTGGTTTATATTTGTAAACAGTATAAAAAAAGGAGCATAAAAACTCCAAAGCAAGTTGTTATTAAAACGCAAGTTGTTATTAAAGCGGTATTAAAAATCATAAATTCTCAAAATTACAAAATATATACGTATTGGCCACTATCCATCTTCAGTATGTCATGTAATATAACATTAATAAATAATAAATAAATAAAAATTACGCAAAGTAGGTGAAAATTTATCTAGTGTCAATGACAAATTATTGGAAGTTTTTTCATGAGCCTCTCAGCTCAATATAGCGCTCGATTTCTTGTCAATTTTAACTCGAAACTATATATTAACGCAAATCCGCTTTACTTTTTGATTGAGACACACAATTTCCAGATTCTAATAATAGGATGACATAATGTTACTGAACTAATTGATGATAATTAAAAAATATTGGACAAAGGCATACTTGTGTTCATTGCAAGATCCTTAATACTTTGATAATTATTATTGTTGAAAATGTTGAAAGCCAAAAATTTGGTTTAAACAAGCAAAGAGACAGAGAGACATTGCCAGATGTGTATCTTCCTCTATCGTACAAGGAATCCTTATTTAGTTCCTTAATTTTTTCATCTTCTAACTTAATATATAAACCGAAGTACGGACTGATAACTTATAGACGAAGTCTCACGGCTTAAATAATCTCTGTCCTTGTCAAACACTTTCAACAATAATGACTATCAAAGTATTAACGGTCTTGCAATGAACATAGAGATATGCTTCTGATAATTTCTCATAATTTTTAATAATCAATAATTATAGTTCAATAAACATTATATTATTAGAATCTGGAAATTGTGTGTCCACTCAATCGAGAAGTAAGGCAAGAGGATTTGTGCTAATATATAGTTTCGAGTTAAAATTGACAAAAAATCGAGTGTTGCGTTAAAATAGAATCACACGATGTTCGTTTTCTTGAATGATATGAATGCATGCAGTCATACCTGCTTTGATGCATGCTAGAATACGTTCATACATTGATCAGTGCATACTGACATCAATGATTTCTGTACATAATTTTTATACATGATTTCAACTTGTTTCCTTATATCACCAATCAAAAGATTGAAAATGGTTACGTAATCGGGCTATCGACAGCATCTTCAAAATAGAAACAATTGTGCTAATTTCTTTTCTATCAGTAGTTATCTGTCAGATTACAAGCTAAAAAATGTTTAAAAAAAAGATAGACAAACATCAGCTTATTTTTAATTAATGAACTACATAAACGATGAATGTTAGCTGCTTTGGATATATTATTATTAAATTTAAAAATTAAAAGAAGAAATTGTAAACGCCAAAAAATTTGAATGAGAAAGTGGTTACAAGAAAAAAACAAAGAAAAAAGAGTTTTGCAAAATGATATTCGGTATTTAATTCATGGTCATAGAAGCAAATTTTGGCTATATATTAATTTTACTTGTTTGCAGGTTGCAAGATTCTATGTCCTACAAAAATTATTGTTGAATGGTCGAAGATCTTTTTGAGGAACTATTAGCTCACATTATTCCTCACGTACAAAAAAAAGACACTGTAATGCGTCAAGCAATAAGCTCTCGTGAAAAGTGAATTTGTAATATTTCTCTTTAATATTAACCTTTATATTAAGAAATGTAAAATGTTGTATTAACAGATTAACTGCATTATGCTTCTTAGCATCTGGAAATTTATATCGAGATCTTTGAGTTTTGCAGTATGCATAATACATTTTCGTTGATTATTCCAAAGACATTGAGAGCAATAATCCATAAGCTCCATGAATGTATTGAAGTACATGTTTTCCAAAGTCTTATAAATTGTTGATATTATTATTATTATTATTATTATTATTATTATATAACATATTTATTCATTAAAAATTATTTTTGTGTCTGAACAGTAAAGAAGAATGGATTGAGGAAGAAACTATATTTTATTAATTATGGCAGGTTTCTCATTGTATTGGAGCACTTGATGGCAAGCATATAAATTTTCGTGCTACAAAGAAAAGCAGAACTTTGTACAGAAATTATAAAAATAGAGATAGTATAATTCTTATGGGTCTTATTGATGCCACGTATCAATTTTTATTTGTTGATATCGGTAGAAATGGACGGATGATAACGCAGTATTTAGAGACCGTGAGCTAGGTCAGTATTTAACAAATGGCAGTTTAAATCTTTCTGTATCTAGCCCTTTGCCTGGAGATAATGTACAAATGCCTTTCGTCATATTTGCTGATGATGCTTTTCCCTTGTCGAATAATTTGATAAAACCATTTCCTGAATGTGGATTGAAGATATCAGAATTTCTCAGTGTCAGAATTTTTAATTACCGTCTGAATAGGGCACATAGAATTGTAGAAAATACTTTCGATATATTAGTAAATCGATTCAGAATTCTTCTCAATAAAATTGCTCTTTCAGTTGACAAAGTTGAATTAATTATTCTTGCGTGTTGTATTTTACATAATTTCATTTTTTTATCTCGAAAATTATTTGTAAATCATATAGTTGAAAATAATTCTGAAATTGATTATCAGGTCTTCTCCCTGATTTAACTGCACAAGAAGACAATAATTCTAGTAGTGCTAAAACAATTAGAGATCATTTTATAAAGTATTTTAATACTATTGGTTCTGTCTCAGAATGAGGCAGTACAAAGAGGAAGCTATTAATAAAAGAAATATGAAAAAGAATGCTTTTATTGCAAAATGATAACATGTGTACAATTTAATATAGTTGGAACTTCATTGTGTATATCTTCGAAATAAGTAATAAAAAAAGTAATAAATAATTTTAACTTTTATTATTATTTAATTATTAATTATTAAATTATTATTTAATTATTAATTTATCTTATTTATTATTTTATTTTTTAATTATTATTTATTGCTATTAAATATATTTTTTTATTTTTTTATTTATTCAATTATCATTCATTTAT